AAGCCAGAACCATCTTGCAACCAAGCCATCTCAACCTGTAACGCACACGATTCACCAACCAACGATACATCCAACGACGAAGCAACCATGGAGGCAGCAACGATCAATTTGGAACAACTCCCATCACCGTAATCTTCTCACAATATTAACTTCAAAATCTATTCAAGGTGACCGGGCGTCTCGTCTTAGCATCAGGTCGTCGTTGAGTTGTCCATAAACATTCTTATCTCTCATGACATAACTACTTTGGCTGCATCGCACTTTTTCTCAATGCCTCGTTCTCATTAAAAATCCCACACCCTCGATGTACCCCCAACTGTTCTTACTCTCCCTAGGTATGTTTCAAAACATTCCATCCATCCATCCATCCATCCATCCATTCCGACCTTTTCAGTGGTCTTGCAAAGCTTTCCGAGTGTTGGCTATACGTCACAACGTCGCCACCCGTGGCACGGAACTTTAACGGTGTGGCCGTCGGCGATGTTGACTACAAGGTATGGAGGGCGATCCAGCTCGCCCAAGTCTTCGTACAACTCACCCAAGTCTTCGTGCAGCTCGCCCAAGTCTTCGTGCAGCTCACCCAAGTCTTGGTGTAGCTCGCCCAAGTCTTCGTACAGCTCGCCAAAGTCTTCATCTCCGTTTTCGGGACTTGGCTCCCAGTGGTCAGAACGGGATTTTGGCCTTGCGACAAACATCCCCAGACTCGTGGCCAACCCTCCCGGCATTTCAGCATCAGATACCGCACCGCATTGCACGCATGGCTCAGTAGTGTCTTCGATCCAATAATCTGCCGATTCAGACCCCCACCATAAGGAAGATTCCACCCCCCTAATTCCATCAAAGCGGAAAGCAGATTTCATTCTAGCTTCCACTTCCTCCAAATGTCTCCTTCTCGTATTCCCAGCCCGCATAACTTTCCATCCAGGGCCATTCCATGCTCCGAACAGAAAACGGTCCAGCTTCTTTGCGAACTGAAATAGATACTGTATTTCCCCTTCGAACTCCACTTCAAGAATTTGTGTTAGAGCACGATCATCATCATTCGATATTCCAGCATTTCTACCTCGCATAAGACAGAATGGAAGAAGGTCAAACATTCCATGCATTCTAGCATAGTTGTTACTGGTCCTCTCATAACAGGCCCTTGAGTCGTCATCCATGTCTTCGGAAATATTACGAGGCATGACCAGAGTTCTATCAGCGTTGGTTGAAACGCGATACGTTTCCGAAACCATACCAGCACGAATCAAGTCGAATATCTCCGGTCTCGAACTTCGAACAAGCAAGGTGTTCGAACTCGTCTTCACATGAACCATGCTGAGAAACCCCCAGGTCACCCACTGTGTTTCTCTCCGATTGCTTTTCGGCCCCAACATTTTTTTACTGAATATAAATAATGTTCCCGGCCATTCGCGGCGGGAAGTTCGTGCGTGTTGGGGGTTCATGCCGGTAGTGTTGAATTGATTAAAAACGATGTCCCCGTGTTTGTTACACACACACATGTGTTTGTATCTCATGCTCGATGTCTGCCATGTTCCTAAGTCGGGAAGGCGTACGAAAGGCCTCCAGCTCTCTGCGGCTCAACATTAAATGATGTCCGGTTTACGGGTTATCTTCCCCGGAATGTTGAGTCGCTGGAGCTAACTTGTGTGATCGACGGCGATGGTCGTATCTGTAGAGAAGTTCCCACAAGTTTTTTTGATGTTCATCCATAGGCTCAGTGAATTTGAGCAAGACACTAAGTGGCTTGTCAATCTGGGGTCCGGGATACCATACCGGCATCCGGGTGGCGGTCGCGTGCGAGAGACTGATTACCCGATGCGGAGCTGCGTTTCGGGGTCGGAGTGTTGCCAACTTGGTTCCGTGTTCGAACGCCCGCGCTTCTAGATCGTTCAAGGGAAACGATACGAGGTCTCCGGGACGGATGGGAGTGGTAGGTTTCCTTGCGTTGCTTAACTCCTGCAGTGCGGCCAACGACAGTCGTACCTGCAAATTCAAATATTGATTTGCGTGG